TAGGATGCCCACTTTATGAAGAGTTGCCTGAGAATGTGTCGGAGTTTGTGAAAGTGTTATCGGAAAGGATGGATGATATTCACCATCAAATGCGTTCAAACTTGAAAACGTCTGCTGATTCGATGAAGTTAACTTATGATAAGAGATCTACTGAAGTCTGCTTTGTACCTGGAGACAAGGTATGGTTGTATAATCCCAGGAAGACCAAAGGGAAGTCTCCTAAGTTGTCTTCTCCATGAGAAGGCCCATATGACATAGTGGATCGTCTCTCAGACGTGACTTTCCGGATAAAATGTGGTCGGCGAGGTAAACCAAAAGTGGTGCATGCCAACAGGCTTTGGCGTTACCACGGTCCAGGACATTTCAGTTGGAACAAAGTGAACAACAGAACAAATGACGCTGCTGAAGACGTGTCACCTCACAAAGCCACTGTTGAAAAAGGAACTCTACTCGGTTTTGAGAAGGGAAACAGCGAAGCCCTTGATGAAGTTACTACCACCGATGTGACTGTTACCGATGATAGGACATTTCCCGATGAAGCAGAAGCCAACGAGACTGAGGCCAGTACGGAAGAAGATACGTCCTGTAAAATTAAGACACTTTGTTGAATTGTAATTTTGTTTGTAAATTCTGTACATTCAACTAAATTATTGTTAATTGTTTATTGGTTTAATGTAAGTGGCTATTGTTCGGGACGAACAATACTAAGGAAGGGGCAGTGTTACGACAGCGGAGGTCACGTGACGCTAGTAACACGTCATATTCTCGAAGCTTTGTGAATCCTCGGGAGGTTTCTAGATGTACGGTATTCTTTTATATAAGACGGCAACAATGTAAGGTGTAATTCAACTGAGGACAGAGTATTGTTGAGTTGAGCACATGAGACATTCGTTGTGAATTATAGCGTTTGTTATAGCGCGATTGTTGAAATTAAGTGTATCGCAAAGTTGTATTCAGAAACAATAAATCAGTTTTATTTAAGACAGGACTAGTATCGGTAAAGTTTCTTCGGAAAGAATTTTTACGGAAAATTAACTAACGAACGGAGGTGTAACATTATTAATGAATTTAACTACATAACTTCCGTCCAGGAGACGGGTACTCCAGCTAGTAGCAAATACAATTTCAGATATTATTCCAAATATATTTGCAATGACAGAATTGAATTATGGTTATGATAATTAATTCACACTCGTCAAAGTACAAGTATATTTAAATGACCACTTGCTGGTGGATACCATTGTGGTTGAGTGTTAAATACACAGAAAGTCTTAAACATCTGTAACAGTTACTCTACGTCATAATGTTCAAGTACTTGAATATTGTTGCTAAATCTCTTGACACAACTTTTAACATAAATAAAAGATCGTGTCAGACTGCAGAAACTAGCTGGTATTAACTATGCAGTTCAGAAATATGACAGATGAATTCGTAAACAAACGAGAAGATGACAGTTATTATGAAGACTGGGCTTAGACAAATATTATTGCAGCCTCACACTGTCTTTTAAAGTTAATTGTCATTTGTTGCCATATGTAGATCAACAATGTTTTTCTGTTGCTGTGCTACTAAATTAAGTGATTTCTTGCGCTGATTATTTCAAGTTTTGAACTTTCACAAGTCACATCCAACGGATTGACTTTTCACCTTATATTTTCTAGTTTTGAAAACTCAAAAAATGATTCACCTTCCCAAAGCACTAAATGCATAACTGAAAACAAAAAAATCCCCTAGGGCCAGGTTAAAAAATTTTAGGCCTATTACTTTTAGTTTGAAGCCCTTGTATTTCTAAATGCATACTGTAATGATTTATTTACTTAATACTGTACCATGCTGATATACCAAGTGTTTTATACCCCTTACTTAAAATTAAATTTGCAATTTTTTTTTAATGAATACAAGTGCACACAGTTTAACATAGAGCAAAGGCCAAGTTCCTTTTATCATAGTTGCCTACTGTATTGGGTCATTAACTTAAAGTATCACGTGAAGCTTGTGTCGGAAAGATTTTTTTTAAAGGAGACTATGATATTTTCACTGGCAGAACAGGTGATACCTTGAGAAATCAACTTCCCTTACTTTTCAAAGGGCATGCATGACCAATAGTGATGTGGGTAGTGGATGCACCATGGGATATATCATTATTGTCTCATGTATATAATACTATACTTTATCAGCCTAGAACACACTACTCTGCTTCTTCACAGAGTTCCCTGGAAGATGCAATAAAGGCCTGATTATTCATCACACTCTTCATATTTGATTGAATTTTGTTGAAATATAATTTTCCTTTTTTCAGGTTGCAGAATTTCCAATCTTTTTCATTCTTCACAACTTGGTCAACATTGCAGTATACAGTTTAACTCTGCATAATATTCTCTGCCAAATTTACCATTATTCTGCAGATCCTACTCAGTAACTTTGAAGAGAAATCAGTGCATCTGAGAATACCAATACCACAATGAATTATTTACCCAATGAAATATTGATCTTATAAATCTAAGTATTAAAGTTATTAATATAAGAATTATTAATAAAATGTTTCCTCTACGTTTGCAAATTAAATATGTAGGTATATACTTAATTAACTGACCATAAAACTTAACAGTTCTTCTCATGTTTGTGACTTGTTTTTCTACAGTTTTACACTAATACCTTGATTACTTACAAACTGTATCCACACAAGTAGAAAAAGGATTTTTCTTCACCACTTAGTATATTTGTTCGTGTTCAGAATGAATGTACTTCAACACCCAGAGTTTTATTACCTTTGCATTTTGCCTTGCATTGTATGCATGATTGTTAAGTTTGTAAACCAGTAAAAGGCTCAGATATTACCATTCTCTACAGTCAAATTACATAAAGTAATAAGCACTTTTGTTTTGACACAAAAACAAGTCAAGAAGTTTTGAGAAACATGTTGTTTTAGAGTAAATCTACAAAAATGAATATCTGCACTCTGTCCACCATAGGGAATCAAACCTTGGATTTTAGCATTGCAAGTTTTGAAACTTACTGCTGACTAACCAGAGGACTTGAGAAACATGAAATGACAGGGAGATATGAAAATTTAATATAAATAAGAAAATTTGTTACTTAAAATTTTGAATTTTGTACACTCCTTTCAACTGTTCTACATCAGTTTTACAGATGTACTTTCAGATTAATGCTTCAAGTATTTACAAACATCTTTGTGACTAAAGTTTAGAGATTTACTTAAGATGTTGTGTCAGGCACAGTTGTACACTGTAATACACATACTTTAGAAAATTTGTTTCAAAATTAGTTTTAAAATAGTATTAAATTTCATTAACTTTTTCAGATGTTTATTTTACCAGATATCTGTATTACAGATATTAGCACAGACTTTATTATTTCTCCAAAAGAAAAATTATTATACAATTATTATTTTATTTTTTTAGTTTCCCTGTATACAATAGAAAGTAACAACTACTTACCCAGAATGTAAAGAAGTTGCTGCTTTTCTGTATATGAGTCATTTGTTTCTTTTAAATTCAGGAACTTATAATTCAGTAGTTAAGTAAAGTATACTCCTATTTTCAAGTTTTTCAACTGTACTTAAAAGTAATTTATTAGTCCTCTTCCACACTGTTTTTTTCAATTAAAATAAATCAGATTTATCAATTTTTTGAAAATGGAAATCTAAAACTGTAACCAAAACTAATACATCAGTAATTAGTTACCTGTGGTAAGTTATGTGTGCCACTCTCCCTTTTGTTATTTCTTACTGTTTAGTAAACGAGTTTTAGCTCTGCACTCAATATAATTATATGGTGAAAAAGCATACAAAGAAAATATTTGTACAAGATTTGATCTGCCCATATACTGCTTTAATTTAATCTTAAACAATTACAAAATAGTTGTTATCCAATTTCTGTAGTCCTTAAAGTTATAATAACTTGCTCATTGAAAGACCCTTGGTTCACATTTGCAAAAACATGGAATGCTACTTAATACCCGTATTGCAAACACACTAGAAGCAATTACTAAAGGCAATTTTTCTTTTTCAATACAAGAAACCCAAACCTCATAAGCATAAAGAAAATTTAAAATTCTTACAAGTTAGGACTACAGAAAAGTTTAGAAAATTTGTCCATTGCCATTCCTCGTCATTGTCGTGTAAACTCTTGCCATTAAGGTTTCGAGGATCAAGTCCAGATCTTTTCATGAAACCCAAGTTGAATGGATTGGAAATAGGAGGTATGAGATCCTAATAAGGACCTAGATAATTTCTTATGCAGTTTTCTATAAAAGGCCAAAGCTAGTTCAGGGTAAAACCACTACTAGTTTGTTTGTTGTTTTTTTTGCCAAGTACTACACGTACACAACAGTCATTAGTCTTTGGTCTACATCAATTTATATATGTATATATAACTTTTAACTATTCTAATGAGAGCTAAAAATTCACAGTAAACATCATTTTCATTTAAAAACTCCACTTATTACGTGAAACAAAACTTCAACAGCACAAACTGATCAAAAGTTTAGTAGCCAAGGGAATTGCTGAACTAACAAGATTTAAAAGGTGCCCATATATAAAAGCTGCTAACACTTACAGTACTCACTTTTTTTAACATAGCATAACATTTTTAAAGCATTATAGTTGAATGCTTTTTTAAATCACACAATCAATGATTAAGGGTGCTTAACTTCTACACATATGAAAACTGGAAGCAGCAATTAACAACGACCAACAGGGAAGCGAGTAGTCTTAAAATTAACACCAACCATGTAGCAACTTTAAGGAGATGGTGGCTTACACTAAGATACACTTACTGGTGTTAAAAACAAAGTCATAATGGTTCATATAATAGCAATAGTTATAATGGACCAGTTTAAAAACATTTTCTGAAGACTAATGTCTTACATTCACAAGCACGTCATCACTGGATACATGTATATTTACTTATCACAAGAGCTAGCCATATATTAGATAAGCCACAAAACTTTAGAATATGAAAATTTTGGAAGCCATAACTGGGATCAAAGTTCAGCAAATTATTTCTGAAAAAAAGATATTTCATATTTAAAAAGAGATAAACTATATATAAAATATCTTAACATCAGAAGTTGGACATATTTGAACACTTCGTACCATAAAAAAAAGGTGTTCTCAAATATGAATGCTCCTTAACCCATCACTGCGGCTGAGATGCATCTTTCCCAATAAACTGGGAAGTATATGTCCCAGACAGAATGAAAGGGTTAATTCAAACCTCTAAAGTTCTTATAGATGCAGAATTAGTATTACATCTAAGATGCCCAAACAAGTAAACAATTTTAAGACTTCTGTAATTTTATTATATTTTTTAAAATTTAATATAAATTTTAATCGTAACATCCTGGTTTGAAAATATGTTGTAATTTAAAATGGTGAATAAAACATGACAGTTTTAACATTTCTTAATTTTAAACAATTGTATACATACATATGGTAATTTTTTTTTGTCCAGCAAAACCCAACAGTATCAAAATTGGAATACAAGATAATGAATTATCATTGTTTTTTTATTTGATTATATTACAACATTAAGCAGTAATAAATACACTATTTTGGACAGTTTTGAAAACAAACAAACAAGGTTAAAATAATGCCTTAAGAGCACAGATTAACTTATGAATGTATACAATAACTTAAATTTAAGAAACAATTAAAATGACTGTTATACAGTTTCTACAAAAGATCAGTTACAATATATTTTAAACAAGTGTGTAACATTAAAGATCATTTTCAATTTAAAATTAAGATTCCAAAATTACAGAAATATAAACTTGTTAATTTGTACAAGTGTCCTAGATGTAATAGGAGTTATACTGGATCTATGGTAAGAACTTTAGAGGCTAGAATTAATTTAAAGATGCCCAAAATAAAATACTTAACTAAAGAGGCTTCCAACATTTAAAGTAAATCAACCACCAAACTGGATCTACTTGACTACATATTAATTGCTTTGTTGCAAAATAGAGGCTTAAAATTTAACAAAGTCATGCACATTTCATTTGGCCACACCTGTTATATTTTATATTAACGACAAGATTTATTGTTTCGCATTAATGGTTTGTGGTTTCGCATGGAGTCAACTGAATGTTGCCACTGCCAGCAAGCTCGACAGAAGTAGCGGAAACAACACAAGTCTCGACAAAAGATTGGTCCTTGCTGTAGCTGACAACTAGAGCAGATTGCATCTTCTAAGTATGGATCCACTTGCACCTATTATAAAATATATATATATATATTAGTGGAAGTACAAACTTACAACTGTAACCAAGACATTGAACTGTATCTCCATACCAATTTCAGGAGAAATCTTAGAATTGAACCACCACTAAAATTAGTTCAGTATTACTATTTATAGTGAAATTACACAAAATAAAAGGAACACATTGAACAAGATAATAGAAAACATTCCACTTGCCCAAAGCCAACACAAAATCTCTCATTACATTATTTGGGCTATTATTAATAAGTTTCACCTCCATAAATCAAATTATAGAAAATTTATTAATGAAAAACAAAACTGTGAAATACAGGTAACCTTTCATTGATATAGGTTCAAAAAACAAAGATGTTCAAACTTGAGGCACATGATTTATAAATACACACACACACATAAAATAAAGACTGGACCAAGAAAGGTCAAAACTGCACACAATTTGATTATTAAAATAAGAGAATGGACAAGCAGAATTAACCCAATCGAACCAAGTAGTAGTAGTAGAGCAGTAGTACAAAAAAAACATTCTGACAACTTTATTATGCATATATAATGACCTACTTCTGTTCAACTTCATATGATCTTCACTATTTAATCGAAAACCAACAGATTAAATACAAGTGTGAATTAATCATGAACACTAACTCAGAAGTCCCTAAACCTTCTCAGCGCAAGGTCCCCCTAGAACATTCAGCATTCTGATAAAGCCCCCCCCCTTACACCCAATGAATCTATAGAGTACCTTAACAGTATTGTGTATTTGTTACAACCACATGACACTTTCCTGTGATCCCAGTTTGAGAACCACCACTAACTGACAAGTGTATTATATACAGAATCCCTTAGTTAATCAAGTGTTAAGTTTTGGAAGCTAAATGGACAATAACATAATAGGTAGCACAAGCCAAGCAGCAAGAAAAAAATATAAAAATACCTTTCCAAATGGAATTTTTATTTATTTTTTAATATCTGCCTTAATCTTTCAATATTATGATGATCCTGTCAAACTTGAAAAAGGTACATGCACAACCTTGATGCTCACCAGTCTCAAGTACTTGTATATTAGTAGTTCAGGTCAATGGCACAAGAAAGACAGATGTTGAATGATTAAAAATATAACAAAACCTTTATTTTTAATAACTGCAAGTCAATGAAACCACTGGGTCAAAAGATATTAAACTGCAATAATAAACCGTAGACAGTAAGCTAAAAATCTAAGTAGGGAAATGTGTTTCTAATCATTCAAATATATATTCCAGGTAATTCCAAAAAGCTTACCTTTTTGGTAAACCTTGACGTTTTAACTTCTATAAAAGCAGCAGATACAGCCTTCATGTAGCTTTTCTGGTTGTTAAAGGTTACCCTGCCAGAACCTTCAAAATAAGGGTAAAAACAACAACTTATAATAAATTTTACATTCTTACTGGAAGGATGTGTATCAATCACTTTCATTATTAGTAGACTATATGATCATCCAAGTTATATTAACAATCACCTCTTTCCACAAATGTAAAGAACAAAGTATTCCTGAAAGAATTTCTATCAAGAGGACCAAAGATTGAATCCTAGCCACTACTACCACAAATCAGTCTTTCTCAGACCTTCTCTGAAATATGGCAGCAGATCAGAAGTTATTAGTGTGTGTGTGTGTGTGTGTGTGTGTGTGTGTGTGTGTGTGTGTGTGTGTGTGTGTGTGTGTATCAGATCGAGACGAGCACAGGAGGATG